TTTTTCAGCAAATGATATCTACAATGCTGATGAGACTGGGCTGTATTATCGTGCTACACTGAAGGCTCGTTAAGTTACAAAAATGTTGCACTATTTGCGGTGCCAGAAGACATTCTCAATTCCGACGTAATGAGTATGACTAGTGTATTTTCTTTCAGGATCAGAGACTACACATGTCTCCTAGCTAAATCGCAGAATGGTATCCCTTCGTCCTGGCCACTTGTTGTCTTGCATCATCGTAGACGGATGTCCCACTTTTGCAATTAACCAACGCTGGCACCTGCTGCTGCAGTACATGTTCCACCCCTTGCAAATGCTGCAACTACAGGTCCGTGGTGAAGACATGGCCTGACGGTAGTAGCTCGTAATACACCACTTGACGACTAGTCAACACCAGCACGATTTTGCGTGGGTCTACGGGTGCATACGATTATGTGGTAACAACTAGTGTCCGGTATGTCTGGGAGTGTCATATTGGACCAAATTTTCGTCACGACGACAAATATTTTGTCACTCTTTGTTCCTTATTGGCTAATGACAGTGTGTGGGGTATCCACTTGCTCAAGTTGTACAACTTTCCTATGCAGTCCAGGTGAAGTTTGACTATTTCCTCGAAATCTGGAAGTGTTTGCCGAGTTCGTCACAAGTTTGAGTGCTGTCACCCTTAATGAAAGTTTTTGAAACCAATGGCGTTGTATTCGTTCACGGCATTCTCCGCAAATGACTGACATATTAGACGACTTGATGCGGCGGCTGACAGGCCCAGATTAAAGTAACTCAGCAAACAAGCTGCTTTCATAAATCCATTTCTCTTCAACGCTGAACGAATTGTGATTACTCTGCGTGCACAACGAGCGTATAATGGTGTAGGTCAATGATCACACTGTCTTCCATCGCTTTTCCAGCGCGTGAGTCACTTCGTTTTCTCTTTGAGAGTATCCGGCAAATGGAACGTCAAAATACGGCAAAAAAAATTTTCGTTACCTTCTACATGCCATCCGGACACAGAAGATGAGCACTAGAAGTAGATTTTTCAAAATTCGATTTAGATATTTCTTATTTAATACTGAAACGAATTTTTGTGAATTTTCCGCCCATATTTTTATTTTTCGAACGAACTGATAACCTCAGAATTTCGCTGTTTCCATTTTGGATGGAACAGGAAGAAGAATATTTTAAGCGAAGCAATTTTTCAAAACTCGTTTGCCTTTTTTTTTTAACTATTCCATGTTCATTTAAAAATTTCAATATCCAGGAATGCACATTTCATAGATTCAAACCCGGCCATCAGCGACGCTAATCACTATACCGGTTGAGCGGCTTTTGATAAATTTACATACATGCTTCTCAGCATTTCTTTTAAAAGCCAATTTTCTTACGTTCTTGAGTAAAAGTCGATTATACATTTGCATTAAAATCCATTGACTACGAAATCTGCCATTTCAGCGCAAATGTTTCTCCAAAATGCGATGAAAGCGGAGCTGAAAAAATTACAACAGAAACAGCGATTAGGTTTTAAAATAATATAAAAAAATTAATTTAATTTTATTCTGATATTCATGTGAAAAATAGAATTTATCACCTGAGTTTCAAGTTTAACTTTTTATTCACAAGGATGTAAGCAAACAACACACAACAATGCAATGTATTTCAGAAATAACATGCTTGTGTACGGCTTAACAAAACATTCTTCGTTGCTATGCAGAGTTTATTTTTTTCTTTAATCGAATTCATTTAGTGTGATTTCACTGTTTATTACCTCAAATCTTCAAATTAATTTTTTTACCCGTTTTCAAAGCCAGTTTTCTTGAATTAAACATACGTTTTTATGTTAATGCTGAATTTTTCTCTCATATACTTTCGTAACGACCAAACAGAAAATTTCGATATTTTCACCGAATTTATAAAATAATTTTCTAAATGACGTTTTCTTCGGAATCTCTAAATTAATGTATTAAATTTAGGCAATTTTGCAGAAATTATTAATTTTTTTTAGTCATATTGTTGCTAACAATGATGATTTTAGAATAAAATATTTAATCATTAATTGCTAACATTCCCACAATTTTATGTGATAATGATATCGGATTTCTAAATCAAACAGAAATTTTAGACCATCGGATATATCATAAGACACTGAAAGAAGAAATAATATTGCATGAACGTCACTGCTATACTGATTAGGAGTGACGTTCATGCAATATTATTTCTATGATTAGATACGATGATTTTCTTTCTTTATTACTTTGCCCCATTAAAGAAAGTAAAAAAAGGATAAAATAAATTATATAAAACATAATTTTAAATTACAAGATTTTGTTAAATGCATAAAACTTGCAAATATTTTTTTCCTGTCATAATATTCTTGTTCATATGTAACTAAATATAAAATTCGTGGGACCATCATGTAAGAACTGTATTGGGACATTAACATAATTCAAGGAAGAACAGTAGGAATAAAGATGAGGCAATTCAGGTATTAGCTTTAAGTGAACGAATAGAAAGGGCATCAAATTAGCTACCAAAATTTAGATATTCATTTAAAAAAAGAAATTATAATTATTAACTTTCAATTTTAAAATACAACAAGTATAAAAAATTGTGTTATGGCTAATTCAACTAAATTAAGCGAATCACATTAATTTTTCTCAAAAGTGTTAAGGTTTCACAGTATTGTATATACTATTTTCTCACATTACAGTTAAATGTTCAAGCCAATGTGTTTAATTTACACTTAATGACCTGCATAGACTAAACCTGCTTAGGAAGCACCATGCTGCGTACATCAATATTCTATATTATGCCCATTTAATTTGAATCAAAGGTCTTCGTCCTAACAAGATTTCCGAAGCCCACTAACTCAATACAGACGGCGACACAACTGCCTATAGCTTATTGCAAGCAGACTTAACGCATAAAGGCCTTATTACCACTATTATTATAATACCCTATTAGCAGTCTTCTGCATCACCTTTTGTGTAAATGTGCAGCTGAACAAGACGCACGGTTCAAGGTTTTGTTCTTGTATCCACGCTAAATTTGCGTCGGAACTTGGAACATGATAAATTTCCCTATAGAACATGAATAATAAATATGGCCAATAATAATAATATCCAAATGCTGTCAGAAATTTCTAAAGCCATTATAAGGTATTTCTCCCGCTTTCCTGGCGTGCCTTCGTGGTGTAACGGTAGCAGGGCCGGTATTCCAGAGGTCCGTGGTTCGATTCCCGGCGAAGGCGGTTGCATATTTTTCATTCTTTTCTGCTTCCAATTAACCTAATGACTCTACAATTTTCAGAATTTTAGAAGATGGTTGCCATGAAAGGGTTCTTTCAAGTACTGAATCTCAGCTGTACCCTTTTTGATATACTTGCACATATAAAATTGTATTTATTCAAAAAAATTTTCTCCGTGTTCATTCTTTTCGCAGCTAAATATTTTTATATGTCTTACATTTATACCTTCAATTACATAGTTACCTGCATCTACAATTTGCATTATTTAAAAAAATATTCCTATGTTCATTGTTTTTGCCATTAAACATTTTTACATGTTTAATATATATATATACCTTCCATTAGACTTTTCCTCCTGTCATAGAAACTCTTTTCCAGACTCGTTCAGCTTTCGTTCAGTTTAGATTGCTTTCACAAGGCTGAGATATAGGGACCTATTTTTTTGGAAGGGGAAAGCACCTCAATTTATTATACAATATTGTAATTCTGTATTTTTCCTTAACAAAATACACAAAAGTGAGCATTAACGGCTCTGAAAGAAATGTGCGCATTGGGCCCCAGCTGGTCACCAAACAGGCTGTGCATGTGTGTATAGCTCATTATTAATACACGTGGACTGAGAATTAGGTTATTAGAGTACAAGTGATTGAGAAAGAAATTTTTTATGAAACTTCTCAAGCAAATTTGATATTGTAAAGTAAGGATTTTCATCTAGCATGTATTTATTTATCTATTATTTCATAATTAATTTTTATCAGAGATACTTAAATGTTTATAAAGGAAACAAAAATAATGATAAAATAATTATATACAGTAATAATCTACAACATGAAAATTCAGTTCTAGGTAACCCAGAAAGTTAGAAGACAATGTAAGAATGCTATAATAAAGTTTCATGCAGAAGTGTTTTATATACATGTGATAAGTACTTAATATATAATTTTAAAATGATATAACTTTTAAATGTTTTGAATCTGAAAAATGAGTTAAATATCTCAAGGTGATCAATATCCCTACTTTTGACATAAATACACCAACAGTATATTTTAAAATAATCTTAAGAAGATGGGATATACCCTTTATATAAAACACTTCAGGTTATTCAGTTTTTGAGCAGCTGCACATACAAAAGTAGCCTCAAAAGTTCCCACACTCATTAAACTGCAAAATGACTGATATGAATTTTTGACATATATTGCACAATCATTCTAACAGAAATACAATGCTACAGTATTCATCACTGCCATTATTCTTAACCTGTGGTGTTAAAATCTTGGATATTCTACTTTGTGGCTTATCTGTTAATGATCCTGTTTTACAAAATTTCTTAATTAGTTGATAAGTAGTGGCCTCCACAGATAATGTGTTATTCCCCCCCCCAAAAAAAATATTTGAACAACAACAATAGAATTTACATTGCAACTACATCTTCAGCAAGTTGACTCTGTCTGTGCTCAGGTGCCATCTCAAATTGACTGACTTACTTCCCAGAAGGCAGTGTGTGACAAGGTTGTCCCCATAACTTCAACATGATATGAAAAAGTATGTAAATGATAAAGCATTCGTTTAGCAGAAAGTATGTCTATAGTCTCAAAATGCAGTATGGAAACCGTAAACAAGTTATAATAACTCCCTAATATGTGTCTCATGTGAACAAAGATGCTTGACTTTCAGTTTAAAATTCACTCCGGTACAGAAAAAGTAAGAACATAAGAACTAACCTTTCACATAATTAAGAACATAGGAAAACATGCAAACATACCTTTAACTCTGAGACTTTATGTCCACTCCTTGAATTGCAACTACACATAGCTGGTGCTGATCTTAGATGAGGAACTTTATTTCTAAGTTCTTGACTATTTAACAATCCAAAGATATCATACTTTGGTAGTACATCCCAAGATGCTTTTGCAGTGCTACAATGTTTTTTACTATTTTTCTTCCTGGAAGCTATCTAAAATACATAACATCTTAATTCGACATTAATTTCAATTAGTTCATTAACGCTGATTTATTTCTATGCATGAGGACAATCTATAGAAGCAAATTAAAACCTAAATTAAAATAGTCAAGAAGAATATGCACTTTTAGTGCACAAGAAAGCTAACAGTTTTCCTTCACACAATGATCCCCCTCCAAATTATGAGATGTGCCATAAATTATAGACTAAAACTTCATTCATGTATAGAAGGCATATAATTAGCATTGTGATAGCACAGTCTGAAAGCCATCATATCTGAATACATTTTAGAGAAGAATATATCAAATTCTCTATATACTCCGAAATACCCGATATTTATGCACAGCAAATGACTTAAAATTAATTTTTTGCGCTTACCTTTGAAACCACATTATGTGCAAACTGAATGGTAAACTGTACAAAATATATGTTTAATAATGAAAAACTGAGATAAATTATATGATTGCTACTTAGAACTTGACCACCATATTAACTTAATAAATTACTAAAATTGATTTCCAATGTTTTTGTAGTTTTCTTTTATTTCTTTTGCAATATATGTATGATAAAATTTAAGCTAAAATTCACATAAGGAATAACGTAAACAATGAACATAACTAAAGTTAAATAAGATTTCAATCAAAATAGACTTGAAAACATTCATGTATGCTCTTACATGAATTCCATGCAACACAAAAAGTAAATCAAGCAAGCAATGAAAGCAGATAAAAAGGTACACATAGAAAAGATTTTTCTTTTTTTATATTAATACATTTGGTAAAATGTTTTGACAAATTTTAATATATTTATTTTATTGTAATAATTTTAATTATCACATTTATGTTCTTAAATTGGAATTATCAAATCAGCATCACTACTGTGAAACTAAGTAAAAGAATTACAGCATTTTTATCTCATTAACGCAGCAACTTTGTCACAGGTAAAAAATACAACCCTTTGTCAACTTGCAGTTTGGCTAAAGCTAACTATTTAATTGCTTGAGAAGTATCTCTCATCACATTTAATATAATGAAATATTTAATTAAGAAACATGAACATGACATAGTTTCAGAAACTAACAATTTTGTCTTTAAATGCTGACCCTAAAATTGTTTTAAATCAGCATTATATTCTGTTTCCTTCCTTAATATTAACATTTTTACAATTTCATATAACATTTCTAGCCCAGAATAAAAATGGAAAATCCTCTGGTTATCTTATTCACATATTAAAAGTTAACGACTATGATGAAACAAGGACTTTTATAGATACTATTCCGTTTTGAGGACCGTAAAAAAATTGCAGCGAAAATGTATGCGCAAAAGCGCCAAATCTAGCAAACGCGCCCATTTACCAGCCCTCCAAATCTAGCGTACGCGCTGATTTCAAATTACGTGAGTTTATATAGTTCTATATTTCTTAAGACGCCATTGAAATACTAGTCTAATTTTTAAATTATTTTTTGATATCCTATGGATTTAACAATTTGGGAATTGCCCGTGACGAAAAGTCTGCAATAGAATTTTAAGTAAAGTGCAGAATCACCCACTGCTTGACGCGTTTTTAAGAATTGCACACACTCGGTATCCATGTACACATCGACCTATTTTCACTTAAAAAAAAAATCCCAGAATTGCCAAAAATGGCACTGCGCACACCCTTGACTTTATCTATGTACACATCGACCTATTTTCACTTAAAAGGTAAAAGAAAATTGACAAAAATCCAATTGTTTTTAAAAAAGCGGCAAACAAATAAGTGGGCGATTCGGCACTTTACCGAGAATTTTTTCATAGAAAAGGCATCATTCATTGTAGAAAATTATGTTTGAACAATCAATGAGATGAAATTATGCTTTAGCGATAACTCGGTAGCGAAATAGCGAAGCAGACATCCATTATGTTTAGCATTTTTATATAAATTATAAAAATGATCTGAAATAGTTATTTACTCTTATGCTTCCATTCAGTTATCTTTAGCCTTTTCTTATATAAATTATAATAATGAAAAAGTATTATACGAAATTAACATTTCATCTAAATTAAAACATCAATCTTAGATAGTTATTTACTATTATACTTCCTTTCTTGCGTTACGGTTGCCGCAATTATTTTTGGCAGCACTGGAATCAACAATAGTTTGGCGTTTTTTTACGGCCCTCAAAACCGAATAGTACCCTATTATGCATTGCAAGGCTAAATTAAGAGAATAAGTCTTAAATCATTTTAAAACATGAAAAACACAAAATTTACATAAAAGCGAGCAGTAATGCACATGAATGATTCCTATTCAAATATTATAAAAAATAAACCAAATATTTCCAAATATACAAACCTTGACTTTCTCAACTATCTCCATGTTTGAGATATCTTCCAAATAATTATACATATTCTTCTTCCAAGCAATATCTTTCTGAACAGCATTTTGTACAACAGCATTTGCAAGCACATTATATTTCTTCTTCTTTTTCTCATACTGAAGAGACTGTACTTTGACTTTGTGCTCAGGAATAATGGCACCATCACAAGTGATCTATAAAGTAATAATGTATTTAAATATGAGTTATCTATTTTAAGATCTGAAAATAATAGTTCTAGATTAGTTATCTTGTGAAGGAAAGCTTAGACAAAATAATTTGACTTTTTGATAAAAATAATTTGACTGAGACATTCTGCTGCAAATGAAATTCTCAAAGCATTTTGACATAACAAAAATCATATTCTTAATTAAAACTTAGTCATTGTTGAAAGGAAAAGTACCTACATTACTGTAAAATATAAAAGGTCTATAATATTATGGAAATAGATATATGTGAATAAAATGCAGAATTAAATATGCTGCATTAAAATCTATCTGAGGTAGATATAAGCATGCAACAAAAATCCAGTACGCTAGAGTCAATACGCAATTACATATCATCACATAAAAATGAAATGTGTAAACAATTAGAAAATTTTATTTCGTAATTTAAAGCCTATGTTATGTGGTAATGTGGAAGATAGGATCTACATTCATATTTCATATAAAAAAATCTTATAGCATGATATACGTTTGTTAATCAGAATCTCTTTCATATATAGAACATAGTTTATCAATGCATCTTTTGAATTAGTTCTGTTTAATATATGCATTCACTGGACCTTTATCTATAGAAGAAATTATATATTTTTGAGTCTTTGCATCTTCTTAATCCATTTTCTGTTTTAGATACATCTTGCATATCACTTAAATTTCCATTTTCTGTTGCTATGTTAAAGCAATCAGATGGCTAAAATAACATTAATAAATTTCAATGAAGTAACATTTCTTAACCTCTCATTATCACAAACTTCATTTTCATTCATAGCCATTTTACTCCTTTCATATTTTAGAACATATCCATCCACAGTAATTCCTCATAAATATTTTTTTTTTATAAACTTTCATTCCCTCCAACTCATCTTCCATTTAAATACTAAATTAAATTAAATCTTCTGAACCATGGGACTCTGCTATCACATAGAGAATTCTGCATATAAGGAAAAACATAGTTTGACTATATACATTTTATTTTACAAAATAACATCACTTTACAGACCATAGAACCAAAAAATACTTATGTAACAGAGAAAATACTAGAATATTAACCACTGTTGTCACTGACTTAGAAATACAATTTCTGCCATTCACTTTTAAATACTAAATAAACAAAAATTATCCTTTAACAAATTTCAGATTAAGTCGGGATGCTGTTATGTTATAAGGCATTTCTTCCGCCTTCTTAGCGAGCCTTCATGCTGTAGTCGTCTGCACGCTCAGCGCGTAATTGAGAGGTCCACGGTTCGATTTCCGGCGAAGGCGTTGCATATTTTTCATCTTGCCTGCTTCCGAAAAAAAATCTTAATGTCACTACAGTGGCGCGAACTAAAAAGGATATTGGATGATGATTTTCCTCACCCAGGATTTGACGATTGGGTCCCCTAAAAAAACCCAGTGGCCCTTTAAAAGGGGAAGTATATAAGGTATTTCTCCCGCCTTCTTAGCGAGGATTCGTGGTGTAGTGGTCTGCACGCTCAGCGCGTAATTGAGAGGTCCGCAGTTCGATTCCCGGCGAAGGCGTTGCATATTTTTCATCTTGCCTGCTTCCAAAAAATACCTAATGTCTCTTCAATGTAATAAATTGAAATAACTATCTTTAAATAAGTTTTTTTTTAATATGTAAATACATACATATATAGTCACAATTATATATAGATATTCATAATTATGTAAAATATGTTAATACAAACTCAGGATAATTATCAAAAACAAGTTACAGGTCATTAATTTTTCAATGGGTCATAGCTCCCTAGGAAAAGCCTAACACAGTTCAGCACAACTGAAACAGTTACAGTAGAAATTCCGAGATCCGGACTCGTCGCAACTTCGGCGATTCCGGATCTGGGATTTTTCCGGATATTAGATCATTAGTTTAAATCTAATAAGATGGGATTTGAAATTATAAAATTAAGAATATGGAATTGTGATTTATGAAATAATGAAGCATTTATGATCTAAAGGATGCCGAAATTTACACAAAAGTAAGCTTAATATTTATTTTTTTACTTTCCTTAAACATTTCTTTCAATGCAAGTTGTTTAAGTTGCCTCGTTTTTGTGCTAATAGTTTCTTTTAATTCTGGAGACAGACTTTTTTCTTCAGTTACATTGTTAAAGTCCTGTAATTGCAGTGTCGAGAATTCCGACTAACTTGTCAATCAAAATTTTTTCGTTTTCAGTAACCTCTCGGTATTTTCGGAATTTAGAGCCATACTACAATTTACCATACTACAAATTACCAATATTTAATTGATTGATGATTGAGGAGCATTGTCATCACAATGAAAAACTTCTTTTATATCATCTTTATTCATTACCGCTTCTCCACATTTCTTTACAAAATCTGTTAATTCGAAAATTTCACCTCTGGTTTACGATATCCGAAAACGCTTAAAATTCGCGGCTATCATCATAAAATTTAGCTATCGTTCACAATACACATTACGTTGTACATCATGATATTGGCGACTAAAGACAAGTTGTTCCGCTAAATTTTATCTTGCTTCTATCGCGCACTGAGACAATTAAGCCTGAATTATATTAGTTTAGTTATTTATTATATTTATGTCTATTTCTTGCACATGCTTAAGGCTTATCTGAGTCCTGAATAAATAGATTCCCACATACACTTAAGGCTTGTTGAGGACGGGCGCTAGATATCTTACCGTCTGGTGCAGTCTCTGTGAGTCCTAAATTCTACTACAAAGCGCCTCCCTTTGCCTTCCCTAAATTCTGCCTCCCGGTGGCGTAATGGCAGACCGCACATTGAGTTGAACAGTGTTAAAGGAATGTCGCATACTGCGCATGCCCAGAAAACAATTTGGCGTAATTACTATGTTGGCGCGATTTGAAAAGAAGATAAATACGGTATTGGTAGATGTACCGCCATCTGATTGTAAACAAATCTGGCGTTTAAACCTTCGTAGAGTATAATGTAAATGTAAATTAATTACTCTGTTAAAATACTATTTTTTACTGTACTGCTCAAACAACTAGAAAAGCTGAAATTATTGCGAAGTAATGTCAAGCAGTGTTTGCATTCAAAATGTTAAATATAATACTTATGAAATTCTGCACATTCCTTTGGAACTGTACAAATTTTCGTTCAGAAAAAGACTGAAATTTATGATATATTAGTTGAAAATTTATTCATTATACTTTTAAGCAATAAAAACAATTCAGAATTTACCATACGTTCCATTCGTACATAAGAAACACTGAGGAATATAACAAGTGCTTGCAAATAACACTGAAGAAATTTTACAATTCCTTAATGCTAGTTAATAAATTCTTTGAAATGAGAAAATGAAAGCGCGAATATACGCTAACAAACTAAGCGAGATACTCCAGTTTAAAATTACTGAATTATAACATGTAAACAAATTACATTTAAATAACGAATTATTACGAACATATGTTAACAAATATTAAATGCACTGTTATTGACAAATTAAAATGAAATATATATTATAAAAATAAGCAAGTGCAATCGGTATGGACGTTAAAATAACTAATAAGCAAAGTTCCACAACATTGCAATTGTAAACATCGCTCGAACACACTCGACAGCCATGGAGATCACGAATAAGCTAGCGTAGGGTTGCTTAGTAGCCAATATTTCTCCCCGTGCCAAAGGTGCATGCGCAGTAAGCGAAATTTGCTTAACATTGTTCAACTCAATGTGCGGTCTGCTATTACGCCTCCCGGTGCGGCCCTGGCACTAGTTCTGGGTTTATATGAATAATAAATCAGTTATTCTTGATATTAAAAGCACTAAAAGTAATCTTTTGGCCTATGAGTATCATTAACAAAATCTATATTTAGCATATGGAAAGAAATTTTTATTAAATTTTTCCTCGTCAGCATTTCTTAGCGCGCATTTAACCTAAATCTGTAATCATCGCCAAGCGTAATGTCAACATTAAAGGTTACCATACTCTTTATTATTCAAGTACTAGCATAAAAAATTTTTTCAGGCATCTCTACATGAGTCATTACGCAAATTGTCGTGTTGATAAACATGAGGTGATGAAAGCAAAACGATCAAAGATGAATCTATGTAGAAGGTTTAGGTTCGAGAAGTATGCCAAACAGATATGCATGTACGGAACCAAATTATTGATCATACAAACTATAAGGTATTTCTCCCACTTTCCTAGCGTGCCTTCGTGGTGTAGTGGTTCTGCACGCTGGGCCGGTATTCCAGAGGTCCGTGGTTCGATTCCCGGCGAAGGCGGTTGCTAATTGTTCATCTCTCCCGCTTTAAAAAAAAAAAAAAAAAAAAAAAAAAAAAAAAAAAAAAAAAAAAACTAATGTCTCTACAGAATTAGTGTTGCCTTTAGGCCTTAAGGGTTGGTAGAGGCATAGTGCCCACGTCCCCCGTTCCTTATCCTTATCCTTAATGTCTCTACAGTGGCGCCCGAACTAAAAGGGTGTTGGATGAGGTTTCTCCACACCCAGGATTTGGCGATTGGGTGCCCTGAAAACCCCAGTCGCCCTTTAAAAAGGGGAGTATATAAGGTATTTCTCCCACTTTCCTAGCGCACTGCTTCTCAGCACTGAAATAGAGAAAATAAAAAGCGAACTTGAAGAATTAAAATATAAAGTACTGGAGATTAAACAGATGTCAAGAAGGAAAGAAGGCGAAATTATTAAACTTCCCTTATACTTAGTGACGTTAGCAAAGAATGAGGCCTCAAAGGCAATTTATTATGAAAAATATCTTTGCGACCTCAGAATAAATGTCGTACAGTATAAAGGCAGACAGGGACCTATCCAATGTTTCCGCTGTCAGGGTTTTAATCATACCCAGGCAGGCTTTCGCTATAAACCAAGATGTGTAAGATGCGGAGAAGAGCACTTTATTAAAGATTGTCCTCATAGGAGAAACAAGGAGAAACCACCAGTGTGCGCGAACTGTGGGCAATCTCACCAAGTTATAAGGGGTGTGGGAAA